TACCCGTTCAGATTTAATACTAAACCTTTATAGTAGTGTTCTCCGCTCACTCATACAAGGGAACTTATACCTTTACATCCAGCAAACGTTTGAAAGAAGAACTCTGAGCTTCATATTTCTTGCGAAGCCGTTCCAAAGTTTTGGTTAAAGATGCTTCCTCCTTGTTATAATCGCCAACTTCCTTCCTTACAAGTTTTACCTTACCATCCATGATCTTCCTGAAACAATTTTGACAACATCAAAGAACTAGATGAGGGAGAACAAAATTGTTAATAAGTGATTTCTACTCTCTACATGGGCAATGCGGTGACCTAAAGGCACGGGTAGCAACCTAATCCCCAGAACAATTTTTTCCGTGATGAGGTAGCAGGGTCTCCAGCACAGTGGTCGCGATACTACTACGATTCGCACTACAAGGACGCTATGGGTTTGCTCTAGCCACGCAACCACGGTCATTTTTACTCGGTCGCCACCTATGCGGTTTCTGCGTCTTCTCGTACGACGCGCTCTCATGCGTATTTCCTTTTCTCGCCAGACGTTTCTCTCCGTCACACTGAACACTCCAGTGGACATCAAATCAAGATTTTTGAAGCTTCTCTCGTTTTTTTTTCCCACTTACAATCCCTATAACACCTCTTGATTCGTTTTTGAGCGGGATTAAATGATTAACAATTACAACCAATTCGATCGCGACTCGCGCCTTAAAACTACTGCATTACATTACAACAACACTGTTTCCAGTCCGGCGTTGGAACTGTTACATAATACTATCCAAGCATACGAAGCTCACTTGCACTGGTCAACATGAATGAGCGCATTTGCCAGCCGCCTCTCCTTCTCCTCTTCTTCTTTAACTTGTCGCTCTAGTCGCTCAATGTCTTCAGGTACCGCTAGGCTCATATCCAACAGCTAAATGAATTTCTACATTATGGTCTACGATTAGATGAGTAGAAGTAACGTACCTTTCCCGATAACTCAATGGCGCCGGTCTTCGAGGTAAAGCGGCGTTCACACAGCGGACAACACGAACGCTTCGTCACTTCCTCACTCCACGATTCATACAGAGTCTGAAGCAGCCAGTTTTTCAGTGCTTAAAGGATGACATTTAACAATTTATTGGTGCACAGATGGTGTGGTGACAAGTTGCGCCACTCCCCACACGCAAGACCCAAGGGTTGAACTCCATCGCATCTGTCCTAGTCCAGTCTAGCCTTCATACTTTTTCAAACTCGCACAGGTGAGCAAAAAATTAACACTATTCACACCGAATGACCGCTGCAAATCATGTACCGAAATCATCGCAGTAAAATCACGCCAATAAAGAAGAATGCACGGCGCATCTCACTATCAGAAAAGGACTGATCAACGGTGAGCATCCCCACGGCCTTGATTCGATGAAAAGCTCCTCACCTTCCCTCCACATCCCAATTCTGGAGGGGGAGGTGGTACTTGGCAAATGTCGGAGTAATAAAGGTCCCCAAATGAAAGGATGTGGATGTAATAGAATCCTCAGCAGTGACAACGATGGTAGAAGATGAGTAACATTGAAATCGTTCATTGCTGGGCCGCCTGTCACTCTGTAACTAACCACTCCCCCCACTCGGATGTGGATACTGGGTAGACTGCAGTTCGCATGTGCTGCAGATGACCCCTCATTTTCTGACCCCGAAATCGCCATAAACATCAAACAAAGAGTGCTCATCCTGCATCTGATCCGGACCATTGGACGATTGTAGCGCTGTACGAGTTAGATCGAAGAGTGTGAGCTCGGACGGGAGAACGGGTAAAATAGTAAGTGAGAGTGACATTCCGAAGTGCTTACCCGCAGATGAGCCGGGCCGAAGCAGGGCCGTATGGATGCTTCCCTGAAGGTTGAGGAGACTACGAAAATCTTAGATTTTTCTCTTCTGCTCGATGGATGTCCTGATAAAGCATGCTCATTTAATAATATGGGCGTAGGGTAAAGTATTAGGCACTAAAGGAGAACGTATCGTACAAACAACAATGAAGACATTTCCGTCCCCACACCATTCGGGAGCATACATTAACCCGAGAGCACGAAGGAATGTTTCTTGCACCTGGGGCCATGGCTTGTTTGTTGTGGAGAGTAGATCGTTTTTGATGGAATCGCCAGCTGATTCAAATGGGGAAAGGTTCCATTGGGAAAAATTTTATTGATTTACATGAAATTTCTCAGTATTTCGGGATTTTCGCTGCTTGACATGCTTGCGTCGTATATGCCCCATCGCTCAACGACCTTTCGCGAAAAAATCGTATTGTCAGATGCAAATGAGTACTAGAGTTGCTGACGTGATGGGAGTGCTCGAAAATGAGTCAATTGGTTATGAACTTCCTCTACACGTGCCACCATGTGAAGACTCTGTTGACGCTTGTTTAATAGTGTGTACGTCAATACGGTTGAGCTCATGAAAACCTTTCATAATGAAGACGCGAGTGATCTTCGTGGTAGTTTGCTGAATAGAAAACTCTCTTACGGCTTTGGTTCGCAATGAAGCCAGTTCCTTTCGTGATTTCGAGAGTAGAAGACGCGTTTCCGACAAATTGTCTTCAACATTTTGAGGAGCACAGCCGCAGAGCTAAATTTCGCACAACTTCAGCTTCATGATCTTACTTGCAGAAGATATCAATGCTAAGCTAGTTTACCTCTGATATTTTCTCTCGTAATTGTTCTACTTCGCTCACAAGTTGCCTTTCACTATTGATTGCTTGCTGGAGAGCCTGACTAACTCGATCAAGATCTCTTTCTTTCGTCCTCAGTTCACTTTCCATAGAATTATTAGCTTCTTCTTCGGATCTCAATTTCGCGCCCACCGCTGCACTACAACAGTTCAACTTGAAAATCTGAACAAAATTAAATATTATATTGTACAAAGATAAAGTAAAAGCAAATATGTTTGAAAAAAAGCAAAAAAGTCGAGTACCACTCCTTGCTGAGCATATATTTCACACAATGGCAAGATGACAAACAGCACCGATCAAAACTATTCAAAGTTTATAAAACTTAAAAATTCACAAACGTAATGCTGTGTCATTCTACTTGGTATTATAACCCCCTTCATCCGTCACAGTGTCGGCCACGAATTCCCTACTTTCTGGAGATCCGCCTGGAGAGACCAGGTCAAGTGTCTGATGGGTGGACCATGTCTCGAGAAGTACAAAACATACATCAGCTAAGCGGAGCCCCGCCCACAGTGGGCGTGGCGTGCGTCGAAATGAGTGGTACTGAGGACCATGATTTCAAATTCAGTCACAAAACAGCCTCGAGACCAGGAAAAGTGGGTAAAGGTGTGCATTGGTAAGCCAGACCGAATCAGTGAGACCCACCCTCGGTGGGCTAGGCGTTCTCTAGAGAAGCGCGGCTTGACGAAATAAATTCATTACTCGGTCTGAGAAAGCCTACGGGCAAAACAAAAGTTGGTGTAGGAAACCTATGAATGATAGGTGTCCCAAGCATACAGTCCCAGGCATAATGACGTGAGCGGAGGCCAGACCCAATGAGTGGAACGTGCCCACAAAAGGACGGCGTTTCTACAAATGTTCAGAATTTGGCTCCTAAAAGTCTTAGAAACCGGAAAGAAGGTTGATACATTTTGAAGAAATAGGAGAGTTTAAATATTAGTGGTGGACGCGACGTGCACCAAAGCGATCGCAGTTTGCCACCAAACTTATAACTCGGTTCAAAAAGTTCCGGAGACGTGGAAAAAGTGGAGGGGTTTTAACACATTCACGACGACGCCCCTTTCCACTTTTCGGTCGCGTGGGACGGACGCGATTTTGTGGGCGCCGCCGCCTCACATCACCGCAGATTTTGTTTGTAAATGAACAAAAACATGAATGTCACAAAATAATTTCTGCAATGTCCAATGCGTAAAGATTATCTAAACATATAATAGATTTCGATCAGAACGACGAATAGTGGTTACGAAAAGAGAGCATTTATTCACTTTCCCCGTGAAGGAATTTAAAAGCATTTACACTCGATTACGAGGTTTGCCCACCTATCTGTCCATTCCTAGCGCCTGGCAAGCGATTATCAGCTGGCAGCCCATATGGGCTGCCATCGTCCCAGAAGCACATGTTGTTGGCAGCCCATATGGGCGGGGGTGCGTGACTATTCAATCGTGGCAGTGGCTAGGTCGCCGCGCCAGCCGCCGCAGCCAGCGATATCGCGGCGAATTTGCAAAGAACTCAGCATCCAAACATTGGGGAATGTAAGATTAGATGAAGTTTTCAGTCATGAAACATGGAATAGGAATCACCTAACCCCTTTGAAATGCAGTTTCTTCGCCCTTGCTATTATTACAAACTTATCCTATCATGCTTATGTCAGCGCCTTCCTCACCGTCCCTCTGTGTCTTGGAACGTGATGTTCTTTCTGGTTGAACCAGATTATCACTCCCTGATAGAAATTCAGGCAGCTGATTAATAAAGAAGTCGAATTGAATTCAAAGATAACCTTTACATGGTACGACCTTTGCACTGTGAGGCTCAAATCATTGCGGAGATCTTAATGCGGTGAATCACAGCGCTTGCTGGCTTACTGATGTCTAGCACTCTAATCTTATCAGTCCACCAAGCCAGACTTATGGACATGTATGGTTAAGACAAGGTTCACACAGAAATCGCCGCTCCAACTGCCGCGCGCGACGATGCTCGCCGCGTGAGCGGCGTGCCTCATTAGCTGACGATTGAATTGACCGTTCAATATGGCGCATCAGGTGTGAGTGTAAAGGCGAAGGAGGAGTAAAGGTTATTGGTGGCAGCGGCGTGACCTAGCCGCCGCCGGTTAAGTCTGCTACGACGTCCGAAAATGGTTGAAGAACCGTAGAAGCGAAAGAGAGCTAAGAGCTAGAATCGGCGAATGAATCGCGGTCAGAGGCTATTGTCAGGCGGAATCACTCAAGCTTAAATTCGATCAGAGAAGCCCAGGATCATGAGAAAGAGGTTTAAATGGTTCGGCGGAGGAAGGTAAAAGCCTATCGCGGAGAGTGAACGGTGTCACCATAGTGAGCGGCGTTCGTCATAAAACTACATAACGCGATTATTCAGTTCCGAATCGCTGAAAAAAGTATTTAGAGATCTCGGACAAAGGGGACAACTTGCTATGAGGGGACGAGAAGATAGACGCTAGTGATGTGGAGCTATCAGTAGCCGAATGCCAGCAGACGGATCAAATCAAGGGCGATAGACGTGCGAGATTAGCCTGACTATGAATGCATCAACGCCGAAGAGAAGAAACGCGCAGAAATTGCAGGGGACCGTTCAATGAGGATCAAGAATTGAATTTGTTAATTTTCAATTTCTTCATAAACGTAGCAAAAAAACACATACGTACCTCCAAGGGCCATCGGGAACGCTTCCGAACTCGAGAGTTAAGGTGTTAGAGTGCTTCTCAATCAATGCGTCCAATTCTCGCCTTACTTGTTCCCTTTGTGCGTTCTTCCTAAGGCACCTTCAGTATTCGAAACTTTCCGCTCCGACACTTGCATCTCTTAATTCCTCCACCTAAAGGAAGTTCCAATCGATAACAGGTACATGTTTTGACTCCCACTCTGTGAAGTTATTACGGCCCTCGCAAGTCTTCAGCTCGACTCTCATCGATAACCGGCAGCTCTGATAAGGACGACTCGATGCTGGTGATTTGCTTCGAGAGCTCGCCGAGCCTGAAATTTATCGCTCACTCATATGTAGTACTGGGGCAAAATTATTGGCGCACAAAACATGTGTTGATTTTCATTTCGAAATTACCTTTTGCAAATCGATTCTAATCATGAGCATTGTTTACAATTAAGGGTCTATCTAATAATTAGTCGCTTCAAAACTATCACTTGCACTTACACAGGTTCCGTGACGTGTATTACCTGGACGTCGCATGCCGCATTACAGTGGAGCCTACATTTCGTATACATTCCGAAAGGGCTTTTAGCAAGAACCCAAAATGAGAAGTCAATAGGCAGGCTTTCTCGACAGTCAGAACATTTCATCGCGTCACACTACGGAAACCGCACGCAATGTCTATGTTTGTGTACGATTAATCAGAAAGCTGTCTCGGCGCCCCTTCTTGACCTTGTAATGTTGATAGTGGCGGGGCGGGTCGATGCCAGACGTGAACAGGATTTTCCGAAGCGGTAGTGAGCTAATGGGTGAACGTTTTCCTCGCTTATGAAGTTCCTATTGATATACTAACGCCATTTTTGACAATAAGCAAGTTTTCTAGTTAGATGACTTTTTCGATTTAGCAGCGGAATTCAAAGTGTCTCTACTATAACGGTCACTATTTCCGTAGCCTACAACAAGAGCCTACTGCCTATGTTCAGACCTAAATGTGTGTTGGCCAAACACTATTTGACTTGGGAGGATCTGATGAATCAATAACGTTGCGGTAGCCCGGGGCCGGGCGCGGCGCAGCCGGGCGCGGCGGCAGGCGCCGCAGCGGGCGGGCCGGCGCCGGCACCGCGACAGCCCGCCGCCGCGCCCGGCCGCGCCGGGAGTGGGAGGCGGGAGGGCGGCGAGCTCCCAGACCGCGCGGAATGCGGGCGACGGACGGCGAGGCCGGGGGGCGGGCGCGCGCGGGCCGGCGCAGTCCGGCGCAACGGCCGGCGGGCGCAGGGGGGCGCGGGACCGAGCAGGGCGCGGAGCGGGGCCCCAGGAGGCCCGGGGCGGACGCGAGGGGCCCGCAAGCGCGTGGCGCTGGCAACAATGATTAAATGAAGTGTATGAGAATAGTTGCCAATATTTTGGCTGGCATGATTGTAAATAATATTCATAGTTCCACTTGATTTTTGAAGTCATTTCGAAACGAAGGTCATAAATTTATGCACCAGTGATACTGCATGGCCCTGTTTACAAGGGCAGCACTCAAACTTTGCGTCAAACGACCGCGACGCAAAGGGGTCTCTATGATAACACTGTTCTGTAAGCATTTTGAATCCTACTAAATCCGAAAAATTAGCAATTTTTATAGTCTCGCAAGCCTTACATCCCTCCTCCCCCACACTTCTGCAGATGGCAGAAATTCCAGAAGGAGAGTAGTTGAGTAGGTAGCTTCATGATACAACAATGGATAGGTCTGGAGGAGAGCTTCGTATAAAATTTCCCAGTGGTCGGGGGTAGGGAGGGAGAGAGATCGAAGTCGCATCACTACATCTATTGTGCTAATTCATCGCTCTTATCAGCTCGCAGTTTATCAGCATCGCTTGAACACAACGAAACTAAGTGCAAAGACATGGGACAAAATACTTGGATACTTGGATATTGGATGCTCGTTGTCAGCCGATGATCCTCAGCGGCGAGCACACGCTTCCCTCCATTTTTGACGATCTTGAGCGGTTTGGGCCCAGTGTTGGCCCGCATCTTCTTGAAGTTTCTTCAGGGAGTCTCTCCATCGTGTTGCAGGACGGCCAAGTGTGCGCTTCACGTCTCGTGGATACCAGAACGTAACGCGTGTGGTCCACCGATCATCCATGCGTCTGACCACATGTCCGGCCCATCGTTTCTTTGCGTCCACGGTATTACACTGCGGAACGTCTTGAAGCAAAGGCTGTTCAATCAAAAACAACGGCGTGCTATAACGGCGGTATGAATTAAATCACGCGTTGCTTTTCGAACGCTTTCAGAAACGGAATTTTTATTCTAGAGAAAGAATAACATACTTACTGCTTGTGAGATGTTTGCATTCTGTAAATCCTTTCCTCGAATTTCAATTTCACGTTTTCTCCGTCACTGAAGACGTAGAGTTCGCTTCAAGCTGTCAACTGCGTCAATTCCATCTGCGCAGCTCAACTGGTTTGGCCTTTCTCTTTCGTGCAATACTGGAGATTCCTGGAATAGAATTCAGTAAGAAATGGCGAGTATCTACTGGGTTTCTACCGTTCATTGTGAACGAATTCTGTTCTGATGTTTGCTGTTATTGCTTAACCGTGGTTTTCCACATCGCGCTTAACGCGTAATAAATCAATCAATCAAATAAGAGGGGCGTTGTCAATTGTAGACCGTTAGCTAATAGCTACATTGAAATAGACGGACTGTTTAAGTTGACTGCATACTCATTGTCAGACAACAGCCACCGTGTGTCAGTTTAGTCTTTCAAGAGACTTCGATCACTGATAGAAAAATAAGGGCTAAAGTTGTTGGATTTCAAACGGTTCCTATAAATTTTTAATACGATTTTGCGAGCTAAAACCTGAATTTTCCTCCATTTCACATTTCGAGCTGTGCATTCAATCTGAAAGCTCACGCCTGCCAAGCCACAACCTAATTTTTGTACAAGTACATGTACCATGTCACATGCTGAGCACAGTCTGTGAAATTGAAATCGAAATAACCACGAGTTTTATCAGTTCGAAATCATCCTTCATCTGTGCCCGTCCGCCCTTACTATAACAGAGTCATGTAAGAAGTAAATTGAAGAAAGGTGAGATTTCCTTTTGACTTTTCAACAGATCTTCCTAATATTCACTCCAAGAGGGCTACAAAAGTGCGGCATTTCTAGACTATACCGGGAGACACGAAAGTAGGAACACAAAATCTTACCAGGTAAGCCTGTAATGAAGTTTTCCTCGTTGGAGAGGACTCGTATTTTGTTCAAGAAATAGGGGGAGCGTAGTTAGTAGGGAAGGGAGGAAATGGGAGTCGATAGAACGGCAGTGGATTTTTGAAAAAGAAAAGAAGTGATCTCAGTTAGTGATAAGGAGGTGAACATGATAGCCGAAGAACCATGAACTCAATGAATAGGATATTTTTGATCATGCCTGTAGGAATCACCCACCACACTCCAAATTTTTATAAGAAGGGCACTTTCTCAGGGTACATAGTGGCAGAACCTGATAAGAGGAAGGTAAGGGGACAGAACGCTGTATGTATTGGCTTCTACCTGCCAAAATTCGTTCCGAAATGGCTTTTCATATTTGAATAAATTTTGGTACAGCCTTACTTGATCTGTTCTATCACAAGTTGATGTTGACGTTCGTAACAAAAAATACCATTTCTGCGGAACTACTTTTGTGTTACTATAACAAAGAGCCTTAATTTCCAAAGCGGCCGAGTCTTGCAAAAGGCTTGTGGATATTCTCAAACATGTCCTGACTGATGGGATGCGAGCTAAAACAAAATTGCACCAAATCATATAACAGTGGATACGGTTTTGTTGTCGTCTGTCCAAGATTTCAGTACTTTTATTACTTGGCTTACGTTTTGTCCTCTCGCCTTCATCACAGCCTAGCCCAGGCAACAATGATCTAGGCTTTCACGAAGGCGAATAGGCCGAAACCTCAGCCTAATAAAAGTACTGAAATCGTGGACAGGCTACAGCAAAACCGTATCCATCATTTCCATGCCAAGATTAAGAGAAAGTCGTTCTTAGACATATACCAGTGCATTTTCCGCCTCTCATCCATCTTAGGTGGAAGTTGCTGGCGCAGAATGATTTACCCTTATTACCTAATGATAACTGTACACAACATTTGAATGATAACCACAGAAGATAAACTAATTCAAAATCTGGCTTGGATTTCAGTAAATGTGTATATCGATGAATGATTTTCTAGCTTTTCCTTACTAGACTGTACGAGAACTAGAGTGCTGAAAAGAGAGTCGACGTTTACTGAGCCACTTGAGCTCCACTACGTGTGAATTTCGTTGAGGTCGTCAGAGGCAATAATTTGCCTGCTCCTAGAAAATTCTTATTGGGCCAACCGATATTCACGTCGTAAACCTTCTGATCCGAGAGAAGCCATTCTTGTTTCCTAGTTTTTTTTTATTTATTTTTATTTATTTGTGCTTGAACACGCCATAAATATTAAAATATCATGAAGTTAAAATTTCCTACAAACCTGTCAAAAATATAAGTAACAAAACCAGTGATAAACCAGCGACCTGAGGTTGAGTTCACTAGGCTGTCTGCGATTTACAAGAAGAGACGTATGAGCTTGCAAGCCAAGCGGTTCTCAGTACTTCAAGAACTGGTGGAATGTAATGGGGATCTCTGCACTAGTTTTAAAACGGTCTCAGGTTAAGGAAGCAGTCCAGGCAGGTTTTCAAGTGGTGGAAACATGCCTCAGCCTGATTGGAGTTCATGGGAAATGTCACAAACTTCAAAACTTACCTCTGAAAGGCGTTGGAAGCAGTCGAAATCCTTCAAGAGGGGCGGATCCACCGATCCGTGGTGGGGCCGCCTCCAAGCAGCTGTGCAGAGCGCTTGCTCGACTAGCGGTCGTTGCGGGACCGCCGCGCTGTATGAGGTCGATTCCATAAGAACGCAATTGAAGCGCTTCAATTTCGATTGCTGGCAAATAGTTATGTATTTGCAAGCATGCATGGCTATTTGCCAGCAGTTGCAATTGGAGCGCATGTACTACGGGCAGGTTCGGACAACTCGTCCAACACACGTCTCCCTAAACGGCAGGGGGAGTCCCTGTCTAAGCCCCTGCCCGACGTTTTTTTCTACTTTTTCTTTCTCCATTGACCAACTTCTCACCTGCAACGTCATTATAGGTGGTCCTTACCCGCGAATTCGTTCCTGGATTGTTGCTTTAAGGAAGGTATATGTTCAAAGTATGACGATCAACCATTCCATCACACGAGAAGAGGATCTTGTAGATACTGAACACGCCATACCCAGACTTGAACAACAACACAGACCTGCATCAGTCGGCTATGATGCCCACTCGCCACTAGGGGTCATAGGAGCTTACCGAAACTCCGAAACACGGATACTTGTTCCGGTGAGCCTTTTCTGTACGCCTTCACAAAAGAAATCTGAGCATTCGAGGAGTCAACGTGACGGCTTTGAAGGTACATGGATTCAGAGCGTGTGTTTCTAACTCCTGCTCCATTGCACCTGCGAAAATGAGTCCAAGCAACAAATCTTGATCGAAATGGTGGGGTAACAAGCAGTCGACAATGAAACTGTGTACGCCAAACTGACTAAAAATGAAAAAAAATCAACCAAAGCAATCAACCGATGAAGCCATTCACAAGGATTCGGACTCTTCCTCCTTGAAATAAGGGACGGAGCCGGACGAGTTTTCTGAACCTATTTGCTCCACAGCTCCACTAACCCGCACGTGATAGAAAATTCAAATTAGCCGCTACGCCGTAACCCACACTGCGTATCATGGGGTGATGCACGAGATATCTCGTCCGTAAGCCACATTAACTGTGATACACGCAGATCACTCTATCCTACCCACTTGCCCAATCCTATTCTACGGTTGGTAGTCTATCCCACCCGTAGAATAGATTGTTCGACAAGACCTCATCTGAGTTGTTGGTTTAAGACCCACATTGTCACTGCCTCGCCAGTTTTTTGCCTTTAAGTCAACTAAATCAAATTCACTCACCCTCAAATTTTGTATTTCCTTCTCTTCCAAGGCGATTTTACCATCAAGCTCACCGAGATAGTCAGGACCGCGGAATCCATAAGCGACAGATAGCTGACGCTCGATCTTATGAACATCATTTTGAATATCATTTTGCATCTGAAAACCAATTATTCCATCGTTCGGTTGCCAAGCTTCACGAATACGGTAAATAACGAAGCATCAAGAAAAAGCAAAGCATCAAATTCACTCGTTGAAGTTTATCGAACTGACCATTTTCATGCTAACAGCATTTCGCATTTCATTTTCTGCTTCGTCTTTTTCCTTTATCATTCTTGCAATGTCTCTTGTGATGGAATCAATACTCGCTTTTCAATCGGTCGCGCTTTGATTCCAACTGTTGAAATTCTGTAGAGGAGTCAATCTGCAAAATGCACAATATATTCCAACTAATCGCTGACGTTGTTGCGCTGGAACAATCACAAAAAACAAAGCGCAGCTATTATTGCAGGCAAAGATCGTTCCTGATGAAGGACCTCACAGAAGTCAGGCCACAGCAGAAGATGCCCTGGATAGAACAACATGGCGACGGCTGACAAAGACAGCGGACCCTGCGACTGCGCGGGACTAATGCTAGGGAGAAGAAGAAGGATCGTTGCTGATGGTCAATGAAAAGAAAGTAAGCTAGTGGAAAGCTCGCTACTAAAGGAAAGATGAGACACCGAGGATGTCTAAACAACCTCGGACACGCCCACCTTCGGCATGGGAGGGAACATGGCGGCAATGTTTTCGAAATAAAACCGTCACCGTCATCATTAGATTTTTTCCAAGTAGCGCTGTGGGCGTGCGGCCTTGAGTATAAACAGATGGCGGCCACGCGCATGCCAGCAAAAAGGCAAGCATGTGATCCTCCTAGATGCTCTCTATGGACCTAAATTCTCAAGCATGAATTCACAACACCAACCTCGTGTATCTCCGCACGCAACTCCTTTTCAGTACCGGGATAAGGAGCAACTTTGATCGTATTGAGCTGCTCATTCAACATGCGCAATTCTGCTTGCTTAATTTCTGAAAAAACAACATTACCCATTTCAAAACCTCCAATGATCCGTACCGAGTGAATCGATGAAATTACCTGCTTTCCTCTCCAAATCTTCTATTTCTAGTAGTTTTTGATTGGATTTCTCTATGATTTCAGCGCAAACCTTTATTTTTGCATCCAAATCACGAATTTTTTCTTTCGACTCCTTCCGCAGAGCATTGCATGAATCGCGTTGATGCACATACTTAAATTACACTTTAAAAAAGGAAAATACATCAATTCAGAGTAATGATGACCTTGATTTTGGACTTGACCACCATTTCCTTGCACGACTGCTTTTCTAAAAGCGTTGCTAGTTGACCCTCCTAAATTATCCAGAAAAATTGCTTTTATCTGTTATTTGCATAAGAAAAAAAGATCTTTGGCACTCACGTAATCCTTTTTCATCTTTTTCATGACCTCCATCGCCTTGACAAATCTGGTCAAACGAAAAATCCGATCAAATCTCAACTTCAACTCCTTCGGTTCGCTAAGGGGCCTGCAAGGTCAAGGTGATGTGATACATTGGTTGTCAACAATAAAGCACGCTAAATATGTCTGTTAAACAGCCCCGACCAATTGGAATCCTCCTGATGGCAGAATATGACATTATCCAATATGCTGCAGGAACGCCGAGAAGGTTGACGATCTAAGACGATACCGTTCAACAAAAATTACAGTCTCCATGAAAGGAGTTCAACCAGCCTCTTTTTGGAAGTCAGCAACTTTCGATGAAAGACTGTGGACTTGTCCATCTTTCAACGTCATTTGTATGTTAAATTCGTCTGATTTGCACTGCAACTTTCCTTGCTGAAAAAAAAACGGTACAGGCAGAACCACTGAAGGCTGCGCAGAAAAACAGCAGGCACGATTAATTACAACGTTTTATCCGGGAGAACGTTCGTACCATTTTTTCCACATCGACGAACTCGATCAAGGCAATTGATTATAGAAAGAAAAAAAATTAAAGTGCACAAGAACTGACCATACGAAAGCAGTAACTATAAGACAGGGGGGGGGGCAAAAAAGTGTCACTTCGCTCATGACGCACATCACCTAACTTTTCGTTGCATAGGGCGCCGTTGTTGATTAAAGTCTCACAGTAGAATATTCCTTAGGTCCCCTCCCCCACGAGCAGGAATAGGTCCTACTTCATTGCCCACGCCGCCTTCAGAAGGCGACGCCTCCTTGAACTCGTCGGTGTTGGCAGATGACGTCATCTGCCATATGACGTCATCTGCCAACACCGTCGAGCTCAAGGAGCCTACCGTAATCGCTCCGGCCTGAAGCTGCTACATAATTTCTTCAATCGGTTAAGCGGTGAATAGCTTCCCTAGAGACACTAGCTGTGACTGTGCAAGACCGCTTTTGACCAGCGTTTCAGGACGTCGTAATGGTCTATGGTACCTCGACGACCTCGTTGAGCTCGTACCGTGAACCATGTTTCCGTGGGAAAATCTTCTGATGTTGTGTAGAAGGCTGTCATGTAATTTTTTAAAATTTAATATAGTCTCATTCGTTAGATTTGGCATAGTGCAATTGATACCGTTGAATGTGCGAGTCCTCCACCGAGAAGTCCTCACAGTTCTTACACGTACACGAGGTCCTTACTTATTCCTTACACCAACGACGCCTCATGGAAACACGAGGTTCTCGATGGATCGTTGACTAGTACGACGCTATCTGAAACTCTGGTCAGAAGGGGTCCTGCATAGTCACAAAAACTCTCTCCAAGCAGCTATCTATCAGTTTTCAGAATTATGTAGCAGCTTCAGGCTGGAGCGATTACGGTAAGCCTCGTTGAGCTCGACGGTGACGGCAGATGACGTCATATTCTGAAGACGGTGAGGGCAGTGAAGGAGGGCCTGCTTCTGCTTATGGAGGGACACCTAGGAATATTTTGCCGTAAACTTCATCAAACACGGTATTTTGTGCTACGAAGTTTTCTGATGTGCGCCATGGGAAAGTGCACTGCACTCTGAACGCGTACATAGCCTTCAGTGGCATAAGACTGATATGAGCCCATAGTGAATGCAATCCTTCTCATTCGTCCAACCAAAGCGGATCTCTAACGATAAGTGTTCTCAGATGTGGAGCATCTGTTCACTACCCCACTTCCATTTGGAGCAGAGTGTGCGTAATGGTATGTACCTTTGACAATGTAGCGTTCACTCGTTTCGTTGCAACACACAACCTTCCTTTGCAATCCGTGAACTGCAATTTCACCAAGCCATCCACTCGTGGTTTGAGGCATGCCTAAAAGTTATAGATAGAGTGAAACTACATATATCCATAAGCTTGCCCACAGCAAATGCAGTCAGATTTCAGCCCAGCAGAAGGAAAAACGAATATTAGGTACCGGATATCTTAGTGTCGCTTTTCTGAGTTCAGGAAGTTTTGGGGCCGATTACTATGGAAAATCAATATCTCAGAAAGTCCTTTTTGCTCATTAATACTGCGAAATATGTTGCTTATTGTTGGTTCACAATTTAACTTTCCCCCAATTTTTATACTTTTTTTGAAAATTCCTGGGTCCAGTGTGCAAATTCGCATGTGTGTACCAAATGCTTCGAAATTCTTGCTTAGAGCGACAACTTGCGCCCACCAAAC